TATATATATATATATATATATATATATATATATATATATATATATATATATATATATATATAGAGAGAGAGAGAGAGAGAGAGAGAGAGATAGATAGATAGATAGATAGATAGATAGATATTTCTGTATAGAAGCTCATCTAAACAGATATGAATTATTGAGTGTCAGAATTTTACTAAAAATTTATTTCATATTTTATTGCCAATCCAATATGTAAGTCAATGTCCATCATTAATGATTACTTCACCACTGAAAGCACCCGCCAATCCTCAAACCATAATCGTGAATAATGAGGCATTTATCTGGCTCTGTTTTCAATGCCAGTCCCGATCACGACCCTTACTATACCACTACCCCATACTCTGAAAGATCAGAAACTGATCTATAATAGATGAAAGATGACAGTGAGGACGGCTTTTTCTCAAATGAGGTCAAGTGAGCGAACACCTTATTTTACACAAGGAAAACTTGGAGTTATTGCATGCACCGACTGATGCTGATCGGCATAACATACGTGACAAATGAAAGCTGAAAATGTTAGAGATCAGTGCATAATTTAAACAAATTTGGTTGGAGAACTTATGAGGGGGAAGTTGGCAGAGAAACGGGGCCACGTCTCGAAGGACATTGGCTACGACTGCATGGCTTTGTCAATCAAAAACAAAAAACTTAGAAAGTTTGAATAAACCACCCCTTCACTAAGAGGCTATCGAGCAGCTCTGCAGCTAGTTACACCCCAGCGTCCATCTGCACCAATACGGGGGGGGCCTCGGCCACCTTGGCTTTCCGGGGCAAGCGGACGAGACGGCGGATGGAGGCCGTGGCGCGGAGGACGATGTCCTTCAGTCCTGCCCGGAACTCGCGCCGGATTAGACAGTACAGCAGAGGGTTCAGGCAGCTGTTGGTGTGGGCAAGGCAGACGGTAATCGGGAAGGCGTATGCCTGGGCGTTGTAGAAGGCCTTGCTGAAGGGCACCAGGTCAAACTTGATGAGAACCCCCCACATGGTGAGGGCCTGGTTGGGCAACCAGCACAGGAAGAAGGAGAGCACCACGATGACGATGGACTTGGTGACTTTAGGGCAGCGTCGCTGTCTGCTTGGCTCCGTGTCGGGGCCCGTGGATGCGCTGATGCGCCGCCTCAGCACGAAACGGAGCAAGAGCAGGTAGCAGACGGAGATGACTACCAGAGGGATGACGAAGCCTAACAGGACCTTCTGCGTCTGGTAAAGGCCCAGGAGAAGCTGGGGGTCCCAGCTGCCCGACTCGGGGAAGCGCACCAGACAGAGCTCGTCATCCGAAACCTGCACGCTGGTGGAGTAGACGGCGTGAGGCAGAGTGGCCAGCAGCGACACCGCCCAGATGGCCAGGCTCGCCCACCTGGAGCCCAGGGCAGCCGTCCGGCCGCTGTACATCTTCAGCGAGAAGGCCACGGTGCAGTAGCGCGCTACGCTCATGGCTGTCAGGAAGAAGACGCTGGCGTACATGTTCATGGTGGTGACCGAGCTGACGATCTTGCACATGACCTTGCCAAACGGCCAGCGGAAGTCCAAGGCGGTGTCCACGGCCCAGAAGGGCAGCGTCAGGACGAACTGCAGGTCAGTGAGGGCCAGGCCCATCACGAAGCAGTTTATGGAGGAGCGCTTGTGCCGGTGGCGTGAGTGGAGCAGGTACAACGCCAGGAGATTCCCCACAAGCCCCAAAGCGCACACCACAGAGTACACCAGGGCGATCACCACACGCATCGCCACGTTCGAGCTGTCGCCCTGCAATTCAGAGCCGGCCTCCCTGGTTAAGAAGTGTAGCCAGCAGTGTAAAGTCAGATTCCCCAAATGGCCAGCCAGCCCAGTGCTGTCCTCCAGTGCCATTCCACACAAACCCGGCCCAAATGTTTGCACACTGTTGTTCTTCTGCATGACTAATACACTGGATCCTTAGCTTTTAAAAGCACATCTTAAGCTGTTAATCTTTTTGAAGTAGCAACTCAGGTCACTGCAGCAACTACAGAAATAAAAGCAGTTCATTTTGAGTATATATTGATCATATCTTACCCTTCCCTGGATTTGGAAGAGATACTTGCGGCATAGGGAAGGAAGCGGCTCCTCTCTGCGGGTCCCCTTGTACCACTGTGAGCTCAGCAGCGCGCCTCGCGTTCTTTTATACCTGCGCACACTCTCGTAAAAACGCGCCCCGGCTCCCCAGTATCGACCTACTTCACGGTCTCCCGATCCGGGACGGTGCAACTGCGATTCTAACATGACAGCTTGCGTTATGAAAAATATCCTTAGTTAAGACTCATGTCTTGGTTCAGTTTTAGTCTGGTTTGATTTGTTTGATTTTAAGAAAATGTCGAATCTGTAGGATCGAGTCACTAATCGAACAATCGATGAGTGATGGTGAAACACCGCAAGTTTCCCACGCTTATTGACTAAAGTGGAGTTCCTGTAATTGAAACAGAACGAAGAACGCGAAATAATTACTTATCGCTACTATTTTATCATTAGTAAAATAGTTGAATCCAAATGATCGTTAGGAATTAAATTAATGCATCGTTGATTAATGAATCTTTCTGGCATATAAGTGGGTATTTACAGCTATTGCGTTTTTAAAAATGAAAGTGTATTACATAAGGAAATTTGTATTGGTTTTCATTCAGCATTTATTTACTACATTAAGAGAAGTTTTGAAAAGCTGACTAGCGGGTTCCGCGTCATCACTGCGCTATCGTGTACAGTAAGTATAGACGCTGAATCATTTGGCTTAAATTCATCAACGACCAGTAGAACTGCGGTAAAACGCGTAAATATGTATTTAGGGATTTTCTGTATTAGATGCATGAAATAAATGTATAACAAAGAAACAAAGACTATCCAATAAAATTAAAACAAATTTTAAAATTAAAATAAATGAGATACATAATATACGTCTATACAATTGCTTATAAACAAATAATAAAAACTGTTCATCAATATTTGTAGCAAGGTTTTGTGTCTACATATTTATTGTATTTATATTGTTTTGTCAAATCCAAGTCATGCCCAAGTAGGTTACAGGTCTTTATTTGGCAAATTTTGCTTTTCAACATATTCTGTACGGCTTTCAGATCTGGGTGGAGAGTGTAGCCTATTGGACGATGGAAAATCAGTGTAAAATTGCCCGTGACCACCCCGTCATATATGTTTAAATTTCGTGATTATGTATGCGACACAGTATGTCACCGATAGCCTTAAATTATTCCTGGATTGCGAAAATACAGTGATACACTCGTCTTTCTTTGTTTCTTTTCTCTAAAGTCAAAGACATAAGAGAGATATAAAATAATTAAACCTTCTCTAGGCAACATTGTCTAAAAACCATTTTAAACATCACGGAATCATTCCCGAAGAACACTAAATAGTCATGAAACTTATCAAGACAAACGGAAAATATATATCTAATATTTTTTTTACCAATAAACATATTTGTTTAACAAGTTAGTAACGTTAACGTTTTCTTAGAAAATCTCAAAGAAAAGCACATACTTCGCTTGCATTCTCAATAAAAAGTATAAAAAATATTTTCATATAACCTACATATACTCACAATAATAGTGTACCACCTATAGTTTTATAATTTACTTGTATATGCTGGAAAGATATTCTGCATGTGTTGCAAATACTAGGGAAGTACTTGTTATTGTTGTTTTGGCTTTCAAACAGGCCGTAAGTACTTGATACTGCATAAGCATGTTTCCTGCTCCAGTACTCAGTTATAATCTGACATAGCAGTGTGTTGTGCACAGTAAGCTGGGGAGTGCTGATGTTCAGGGAGTCCCCATGCCTGTGTTCCCGCCTGTCTCTCCTTCTTTCTCATGCTGCTATACTCAGATCTGCCGGAGCCTAGACGAATATTGCACTCGATCATTTTGCTTGCACTGCCTCTGGTTTCCTCAACTCTGGCTAATACACTATTATTCTTACTTCCTCCCTCACCCCTTCTGGGGTGTGCTCCCTGGAGCACAATGTCATTGAAGAATTTATGCCTCTGCTGCCTGCAAGACAACTACCTCCACCTCCGGCAACTACCCTCCAACCTGCCTGCCCTTGGCTCACGCGATGCCTCTCCATCCTTCCCTGCGGCTGTGCCTCTATTAATCCTGCCATCGTGCATCAAGCACCCCGTGCCTGCACCGGTCGGCCGCTGCATTGAGACTGATATTTCAACCCCTGTATTAGCTTAGTCATTTCATCTTGTCTGTATTAGCTTAGTCATATCATCTTGTTTGTTTGACTCATCTGCCGGCCCCTGGAGGATGGGCTCCCCCTTTGGGTCTGGTTCCTCCAAAGGTTTCTTCCTCTTAGGGAGTTTTTCCTTGCCACCGTTGCCTTTGGCTTACTCACTGGGGGGTCCTTACGAGGCAGAAATGTAAAGCGCATTGAGACAATGTAATGTTGTGATAATGCGCTATATAAATAAAATTGAATTGAAAAATTGAATTGAGTGCAACTGTGACACACAGCCTTTGGCCCTTGTAAGTGTGTGGTTTACCCATAGCAGTCTGTTTGCTTAGTGTTTCCACTGCCAGAAATAGTGGGTCGGGGATGGATGGATGGATGCTGTGTTGTAGTAATTTATAAAATATTTTTATTGTATATTTATTTATATGCATAAACATATTTCTGTACTTGACTATACCAATCTTTAACATACAGGATGGTGTTTCCACTTCCATGGTTTCAAACAAAAATCGAAGCATGACTTTGTTGTGAATTTATGAATGTTTTGGCCCTGCTGCCTGCCAGGAATTATCAGGACCGGAGATTGTCACATGGGCAGCTCCGACGTCCCGTGTCATTATGGGTTAAACACCGCATCCTGTTACAGTCCAGAAGAATGAAAAAGTCTTTGACGGTAAAGCTGAACAGGAGAGCACAAGACAGCAGAATTTTTCTCTATTTATATTTGTCAGTGACCAATTTCTGGGTAAATTTCTCCAGGGGGAACTAGAGTTGTTGATTTGGAAACAATGTTTTCGGTTTGTCTACAGTCTTTACCATTTTGCACATCACATTTACTGTTGTGGCTGTGTATCTAGTTATGCTGCATGATTTGGGGTTCAGATGAACCCTGAGAATGGGCTGCTCTTCGTCTCATAGGGTAACTGGCATTGTGTTACTAAATGTTAGTGATTGTACATGGGGTATATACAGACCGCTGGTTAGCTGAGATTCAATGCAGTCATGGAGAATTTTAATTGTACTACAAATCCAAACTGCTTTAGGGTGGTAAGACCCTGTCTGCCCCCTGTGATTATTAATTAAAGTTATTAGTGTCTTATTAATGTGTAGTCAGATTACTATCCTGCTTGATGACGCAGGTGATGGATTATGATGAGTATGTCGATGTGGAGGGAAAAGCAGGGTTGGGATATGAATTCTGCTTTCCAAACCTTTAACAAGCCTGGACAAGTTATTACTGATGACATGAGAGATTCCTCGCATCGGTCCCATGAATCTGCCTTTTGTGGCAACTCGTCAACAGCTACAGAATGGAAAATGAAAATTCGATATTGAGTTAGGCAGAAATGCTGAATGAGTACTTGTCAGACAGTAAATTTTTTTTTTCAGATTTCAGTCACATTTTATATCTACCAACAACATTACGAGATTCAAAAGTTTTCAAGATTCAAAGTTGTCTTGTCTTGCTGGAATGCCTTTTCCACAGACTGCATAAAATTAACAGAACAGTTAGCGTTGTAATGCAGTAAATACTAAATACAAAATATTAGCTACTACAGGATATCTAACAACATATAATACAACATTCAACAAGAGGTAGCAATGTGAAATGTGGCAGAGAATGCTGCAGCAGAATTACAGAGTTAGCAACAAATAATCAGTGAGACGACACAGTGTTAAGCATGGGAGAAATCAGTACAAAAGCAAAGTTCCTTTGTAAAGCTTAGTATTAATACTGCTGATTAGCGTGTGTTAAACCGTGTTTCAGCATTAGGGTAATGATAGTGTTATGTGTTTGGGGGCTTAAACACACCTGATTATTTATTTGTATTTTTTCCTCTCTATCTTTATGCTTACAATAACCAAATAACTACACTAGGGGCTAAAACTGTGGAAACGCCTAGCATTTTGGGCATTACACTTTAAAAATTACCACATAAAATTTGGCAATAAAGAATCATGTGTGTTTACAAATATCATACACTGGATGATTCAATAAGTAACGGGAGTAACTGGGATAAAGTTCAATCTCTAATCTCTAATCTCTAAAACTTGGAAGTGTTTCCCCAATTTTGGCCACCTTCAGAACCTTAGTCACTTTCTATTAGTATTATAGTGCTGAAATGCATAAAAGGGAACATTTTAGGATTCATTTTTAAATATGATATATCCATACAGTTTGCATTATGAAGTCTAGCAAATGAAAAATACAGATGTGATGAAGGAAAATAACACAGATACAGTAAACCAGAAACAAACAAAAAAAAGGACTATAATGCTGTCCCACGGGGAAACCGTGTAGAAAAGAGAACATTCTGAAATATGCATATGAATTGTGTGACTGTATGACCCTCCCTGTGCTAGATGCTGATCAAAAAAGTCAGAGATCTGATTTAGAAGATTTAGCACCTCAGAGTGTTTACAGATGCTGAATGTTGCATGTAAAGGGCCATTAAGAGCTCTCATCTGTAGGGGTTTACATGTGTGAGTGAGTGTAGCGCAGCATTTCAGCCACACCAAGTATGGTAGCGTTTGTTTGTGGCAGAACAGCCCAGACGCTCTGGGATAGTTCAATGAAAAGTGACGAATGCTGATGGGTTTTCAAGTGGGCCAGAGTGTCAGGCTCTCTACTGTTCTGCCCAAATTACTGAGCTCTGTGCCTTTGAGGTACAGAGTTAATTAATCAGTAATTCTTTCAGAATATTGTATCCAAATATGGTTTGTTTTCTCTCTCCCATCCCCTCCCTCGGTCCGCGCTCGGTCTTCTCCGCACTTCTTTGTCGATCGTCTTGCACCAGGCGTTGTATTAATAATATATAATAAAAAACAA